TAATGAACATTACCTTAAAAGTCGATGTTTTTCATCTTCTATTAGTAAAGATCGATAGAGTACTCAAACCCTATGCAATAGTGAAAATCACAGATCTATATCTCTTTTTGTTCTCGAGTTATTCAACAAATAGTCACACACACGGACTTTTTGGGTGAACTATAGTTAAATGATATTGTGATATTTTTCTGTATTAAGTTTCAACAGTTTCCACAGACCTGTTTTAATAGTTTTTTCCTGAAACTCCTACTGTCAGAAACTGTCATTAAACTACATAGTTTTACTTATAAATACAAATCAATAAAATAATAAGAATAATTTTCCAATGGACATATCTGTTAAAATTCAATATCCGATCATAAACAACTAATATTTTTTATTTTATTAACATAATATAAAGATTTTTACAAACATTTATTTTTATTCATGTTATTAACATAGAATTCAATTTACAATGAAGGAAAATATTGATAAACATCTTTTGAAAATACCGTTGACTCTTCAACAATTAATCGTTCCACTTTCGAACAATTACGTCGCGTGGCATCTCTTGTAAAGTTCTTTGTTACCGTTTTTAATTGGTCATAATTGACTTTTAATTCAGTTAGACGAGGCAAATGTGCCTTCGTTTCGAGCAGAAATTGTGCAATATAATCTAGATACACACGCTTGATGTCAAGTGATATAAGATGAGAATATTCAATAACTGAAAATGTTGAATTATTATCATATTTCCATTCATGAACATCCCATGACTGAAACATAATATTCACCAGAGAGAAATATTTAAGCATTGGAAAAGCTCGACTAATTCGAATGAAGAATTCATGCTTCAATGAAACTACATCAAGGACATGCAAGTGAGTTACATAATCAAAAATAATAATTGGAAACTGATTTGTGATCATTTTCAGACGAGTAAATGTAAACGGAAGCGAGAAAACATGACATATGGCCTTAAACGTGTTGAGATAGTTGACCATACAACCAGTTCGTGCATATCTTGTATGTGTAAACGTTTGCTGAATATCATCATTAGATATACGATGAACTGATTCATTAATGTCATTTTCTGTGCTAATGTAAAAGATGAATGTATGAAGTTGAGGCATATGAACAAGAATTTCATTATGAAGATGTGTACCATTGATGAACGAACTTCGATTAAGAACACGAAGATATAAAGTTAACTTTTCCAGATGTGTCATACGACGAAGAAGCGGCACAATTACATCGTCATAATTATCAATATACTCATAACATGTTAATGAGAAATATTTCAGATTATGTACTTCATCCTATAAAATATAAAACATCTTTGGAATACAACCTTCCAACTTCAACTAAGATAATAAGTTTATCTAAGCAACTGATTGAAAAACATCTACTTATTTACGATTCTTTTTTTCAATATTTCTTATATTTGATGAGATATATAATATGTTATAATGATGTCTAAAAAGTAATGGACGATATTTCTAAATTTTCTTCGCATTGAAAATAGTAGATGTTTAAAGGCTAACTTGAAAAGAAAACGATCAACTTTTTCAGAATTGAAAAGGTTTCGAAACGTGCATGAATTATCACTAATATCGTTATACTAAATAGTTCTAATGTATAGAGTACAACCACCATTCCAATTAACACAAACATTTCTATTTAATAAATATTTTCATCGATAAGGCCTAAAGCACTGTAATTTCTTTTGTCAATCTCGTTCATCATTTTATGTGCATTCCTAAGTATTTTTACATCTGATAAGTTCTCTATGACATTCTTTGTTCTCTTAAACTTGTCATTATGTCAGAACTATTGCGAATGAGCGGAGAACGACTCGACAAAAATGAACAACTCTACATGTTTTTGCTTGGTAATTTAAAGAAAGTTACTAGTTTTCTTTACTCGAAACATATTTATTAGTTTATGTAAATTGTTCGAATGCAACTCAGTCATTTATTTTCTTCCTCAAATATTTCGAAAAACTCCAAAGTTAATTATTAAGAAAATATTATAGATATTAATTTATTCTATTGTTTGTTGAGACAATCAAGAAATTCATTTTCCAATCGTTTGATTGCCCAATTTTAGTAAGTGATTAAGAAGTAAATTTAAACAATTTCGAGCAATAGGAAAACAAATACAACAATCTATTTCGAATAGTTTCATAATGATCAACAGTGTCATACTCCATTCAGTAATCATATGCTGTGCTAACATGAAAATTAACTACTTTTGCTCATTGACATTCTTTCTCACCTTGAAACAACAATAAAATGACACTAACTTACCATATTGCGAGAAATTGATGATGAATCACCGATATATTTAAGTTGAACAATGAATGTGGTTAATTGTTTGAGACGACCATCAAGTATAGAAAGACAATCATTAATATCAACCATATTTATACATAATGCAGTAAGACTCGAAGATAAATAAGAGTTTGATGGTAAATAATAAATTGACAAAGGTGGATACACTTCCACGGAGTTTGGAACGATTGTCAGATGCTTCAGATTTTCGAAGAGATCTAAGATTTGCCCATACACATCTGTAGTATAAGTCTGCAACGTTGTTTCAGTGGTATATTCATCACTATTGTGAAGAATAAGATCTCTTATCTGGTGTTTAAAAATATGTCGAAAGGCCGAGTTATCTAAGTAAAAAAAAAAGAAATAACGTGATTAACCCTGTACGCTCCGAAGCCGTTCCAGAAGAGTCACTGATAAAACTACCGCAGAAATAGAGTATTGACTTTCCAATATGCCAATGACATGGACAGATCGATCAGGTACATTATCTTTTGTGCAAGATAATTTTGTAACTATTGAGATAGACGGGGAATAGAACAACTTCTAAAGCAGTACTTTTTGTCTTTTTTATGATAGTATTAACTAGACAAAAGTGCCATTTACTTCTTTTTATTAGGCTATAATAAAAAAAGAAACGCTACCTATATAAAAAGCTATTTTTAAACACCACATGAATTTTTGACACAGCTTTTTTAAAAATACACATTTTTCTTTAAGTCATTATATCATCAATGAAGAGATTAAATCGATGATAAATATTTTTTTTCAACTTCTACTATAATAAGTTTTAGAAATAATATATTGATAATATGCATCGTCCTACTCTTTCTGCTCAATAGTTGTTCCAGTACCTATTTTGTGTCTTACCGTTTCTTATCTCCCAAGCTATCGGAAAATTTTTGAAACACATTTCGTTCAATAGTAGACATTTTAGTTCATACAGATCACATAACGCACCCTGGAAATCTCTATTGGCTATGAGTGAAAAAAAATATACTTTGTTTTTAAAATTTCTTTTTTTTTTTTTTAATTTTTGAAGAATATCGATTTGTAAGTCGTATATCTTGGCGATAGAATAATGAATGAAACAAAAATATTTTTTTAACAATCAATGCTTGTAGAGTTCTCTAGAAATAATGTCTCGGAGGTTTTTGAATCTCATGCTTCCTTGATTTTCTGCGATCGTTTTACAAATGGGTCAAAATTTGATACACCAGAAGGTAAAGGGTTAAATGCTTTCGTATTTTGATTACTCTAGAGCATGTTAAGTGCTTACCTGTAAAATAACGAAAAACTTTCTCTTGTTTGAAATTGAAGAGTTCCAAATAAGTCAGATTTGGATAATCACCAGCAAGAAGAATACGTTTCATCGATGTTGTTTCAAGAATGAGTTTTTTCACACAGTGATGGCTTCGGGGTAGTATAGAAGTACAAAATCGATCAAATTTCTCATCAGTAATTGATGATGTTGTTACAAAATTAAGATCGTTAGTAAATACACCATCTTGTACTAATATGTCAAGTCGTTTATTATTAATTCCAAATAACGAATAGAGAACATCAATATTGTCGAGTTTCTTCAAGATGATCAGCAATATTTCATTGGGTAGATCAAGAAAATTAATGTCAGACTGATTCATGTTTGATTATGACTGTCAATCTTCTAAAAAACACATATATATACATATTCATTATTTCCTTTATTCATTTTCACCAATGGAAAACAGAATGCTTGACTGCGATGTAAAAGAAAAAAAGTGCTATTGATGAATCGTCCAATATTATTGTAAATAGATGCTGTTGTTTTTTCAGCATTCATATTTTTTCCATTGCCATCGGTCACCATGTTCATTCATACGAAAATAGAAGAAGACGTCATTTTAAGCAGGGTGGGTTTGGGTCTGGGTGTGGGTGAGTGTGGGGATGTTAGTATGGAACTTTTTCTGCTCTACAACAACACCCACACCCTAAATAATAAAGAAACTTTTGTACTTGTTCAATTTGATGAAATATATTTAGAATTTTTTTTAAATATCCAATCACTTTGTTCATTTTTGTTTGATATTTTTTTTAAATTCTTGTCCAATTTAGTAGATATTATTAACAAAAATGTTCAAATCTTTTCGAATTACTCAAATCAAATAGACCGAAGGATCAATATGAAAATGTACTATTAAATCAAGAATGAATAATCACACATTACTAAAACATAAATCTTTTTGCGAAAGAAAACTATGAATGATTACGAAACATAGAGAAAAAATAAACATGTATGAAGAAACGAAAGAAAAAAAAACATTCATCAATATGATGTGGAATGAGTTTATTGTTTTTGTTTTATCGTCAATAAGATTTCATCGTTTGATATATAGCAACAAATCTCGACACAGATAGTTCATTGAAGCCACATTGCAATCCAATTTATAATGTACTCAATAACGAATGAATCTTCTTCGCGTAAATGACTATGATCGATAAGCCATTGGCGAAGATTTTTACCTACTTCATCTGTTAATGAACCTTTGATGTAAAGGCCACGAAGGTTTTTATCTTTCCACAATGAAGGTACTTGCAGAATAAGCGAATCGATGATAACTGTTGGACTTTTCAAGGATAAACTTAGATAATGAAGACGATTAAACTTTTGTGCAATGGTGTCTAATTGAATAGAATCAACTTCTTCAAAATGAGTAATATGAAGATCTACAATTCGCTTTTGCAATAATGCACATGTAGACACATCGTCGAGTACAACATTTAGGCAATTAACATCAATTTTTAGATGCTCGAGATTCGAAGCGGCTTGAACTAGATGAATTATTTCATATGTTCCCTTTACATAGAGCCGTTTCAGTTGAGGTAAATGTAAGACGATCGATTGAACTGATTGATGAGTAACTATAGATGAAAGAAATTAATAATAGTTATTCAAAAATCTAAAACTAGAATATGAAAATTTGACTTTTCATGAGGTAAAATCTTATGCAGATTTCACACGAGATGGGAAATGAAAAAAAATTCGTTTGATGAAGTCAGTATTAGAACAAAATGTGAAATGTGTAGAAAAATACAAACCATGGATCTTTCTCTTTTTTTCTTCGTGTTCAACTGAAAATGTGCACATCTGCATATCGCATTGAATACTTGTAACTACTCTCTCTATTTAGAGTGTATCAAAAATAGTCATACGATATGAAAATTCAATATATTTTACTTGAGCTTTTCCAAAAAAATTAGACGAAAACTTGTAATTAACATTTTATTGAAAAAAACAATGAGTTCGAGAACTAGAAGAAATCACTAAAAACTCAATATTTCAATTGAAACTTAAGAAGAATACAAATTCTTTTAAGATTTTTATATTCCAGTTAGTCCGCTAATATTAGGACAAGTATACATTCGAAAGCTTTCAATCATCTAAGCATCTTCTGTAGAAAAATATATAGTTTACAAATGCGAAAAAAACTAATATTTTTTTATTGAAATCTGTTCATGGTTTTCTTTTAAGAAAATACTTTGAAACCTACTGTATCATCAAGAAAAAAAAATAGTCTGACTAATGAAAAAACAGTGGAAATATTAGTTTCTTTTGTATTATTATTTATGGTATACTCAGTATACTACTATCCACTTGTTGTGTTATCTTAAGAAATTAAAAAGACAAAAAAAAAACGGTGAAAAGTGTGCAACTTCGTTTGAGAGATATGTTTTGAACTATGATGAAGATTTATATAGTGAAATTATTGAATGAAATCATTACCAATGAGATACCACATAATAGCTTAATACTTACAATGGTATACAAATTACGAAAAGTCTTTTATTTTCTCCATATATACTACAACTAGAAAATGTGTGACAATTTCTCATACCACATAAATTTCGAGAACTGGTGCCATGGATAATAATTCAAGATTGTTCTGAAGTTAAGAGTGACTGTTTGTGTACAATTTACGGTCTTTATCTCAGAAGGTTAAAGTCAATTATTAGCTTTTGCTTAATCGACAACATATTGTCGCACTTCTCAATTAGAATACTAGAAATCTATCTAAGACATTCAATCATATTCATTTTTGAAGAAAAGTTATCACTACGTATTGATAGTTTTTGAACATGTTCATTTAATGATAGTGATTTACGCCATGCTTGTCTTCATACATTTCAATCAGCACACGATAGTCTATCAAAACCAGATATTAGCTAAAGCTTGGCATTTATACATAATTTAATTATTGTTAACCATTCAATTTTGTAACATGCTTTCAATGAGACACTCAACATCTACGGTCATATTGTAAATGAAGCAGTAATTAATCTGTTGCATGTACTTTTTGAACAGAGATGAGAACAATGTCCGAAACTTGATGAGATGGCTGAAAGGTCCCTTCAAGTCGGAGAGTTAGTTGTTTGATAACCGAAAATGTTAAGCAAAAAATAGGCATTTTTTTCGCTGACGCCAAGAAACAAAACGAAAATTTTCCAACATTAGGAAGTGGGAGTATTTCTCCGTTATTCGCACGTCTGTTTATGAATTCACATGCTTTATTGACTCTAGACGATGATAATATTTATCTGACGAACTTATTTCTTCTTCTATTTCTACTAAACACTAATTAGCATTGTTTTCTTTATGTATTCTGAGCCAGTCAATGAATTCATTCTACTTTATCTATGTATAGATTTCTCATAGTAGTGAATGCACCTTAGAAATCTAAATTTTTTTGCAAAAAAATAACATACATGTTCCTGAATTATTTTCTGAGCCAGTTGTAAGCGTTCGAAGCCGATGGAAGTGTTGCACTATCATATGCATATCGGCTGAACACTGTTCGCTAAAAATGATTAAATCTTTAACCTTTCATGTATATTCCGAACCAGGTAACATGCACTTTGAGATGGGAATATAGAGTCTGGCTCTGTAGGTGAATATGAGTGTGGGTGTCGATGCTGTTATGGCTGTGGATGTGGGGATGAGTATGCAGTAAAAGAAGACTCACAACCACACTTTCACCCACACACCCCATCCATACCCCCAATCCACACCCATACCCATACACCCCACGCACACCCACACCCTACACCCAAAAGTATTCACAATCAGAAATATGTTCTTTATTTATATTCAAACGGTATGTCTTATTGATCAAAGAAATTAAAGTTTAACAAATTTAATAATTCTATGATTGGTAGTATTACTAACATATAAATTCATTTGAGAATCAAAATGTAAACTTCTTGGTTGAGCTAAATATATAGATGAATTATCTGCTCCATTTCCTCCAGCTATGGTAGTACCTTGATATCCATTTTTTGCACAAAATCTTTGTATTCTAAAATTTTTCGAATCTGCAACATAAATATTTTGATATTGATCAACTCGAACATCCAATGGAGAATTAAGTAATTATGAAGTGTTTACACTTTGACCTGATGTTCCAACAACAAATGATCCGTTTGATGCACATGGTATCCATTTAATTATTGTATGTCCACCATAATTTGCAATATACATTGAATTTGATGATGTATCATAATAAATTCCTTGGAGATTATTTAATTCATCTGTATTATTTCCAGAATTATTCCCGCCTGCAACAACTAAATGCAAAAATAAATCAGTGAAATTATTTGAAAAAAAAATGTGCGAAATTTACTTGTTCCAGCAGTACCATTTATTGAATTAGTTGAAAATCTCATAACATGATTGTTTAATGATTCAACTACATATAAATATTGATATGATGAATCTAACCAAAGATTTTTTATTCCATAAAATTGGTTTGTAGCATTTCCAGGTGTTCCCGTTCCTGCAATTGTGGTACCAATTAATGATCCCAGTGGAAATCTTTGAATACGGTAATTATAGTAATCAGGTACATAAATATTTTGATTTCCATGCGAATAAACAAATTCAGGACCGTTTAATTAAGTATTACTATTTCCTGCTGTACCATTTCCAGCAATTGTTGTTATGGCACCAGTAGATAATATCATTCTTTGTATTCGATTATTTCCAAAATCTGCTACATATAATATATCATCATTATCTATATAAATTCCAAATGGGTTCTTTAATTGATTTGATTCTGAACCGGCTGTCTCATTACCAAGTACTACAATTCCAAGTGAATTCCATCGAAAACTACCTATTAAACAACATATTATTCGTTTTAAATAAAAACTTTCTGAGATTAAAATGTGAAACACGATGGAATTGTCTATATTGTAAATAAAAGACTTTACCAACATATGCTATAGTGAGTGTCAATACAAAAGACAAAAGAGCTATTTTAAATTCAATCGTGTTTCACAATAATTCTGCAGCAGACTTCGACGTTATGGCTATGCCTCTCACTGTTTATAGAGGAAACGGTGCGTCTAAATTTCTACTTCTATACTTCCTTTTTCAGATCGAGTTTCACAAAAAAGAATGTTTCCATCACTCACACGAATCGACGACATCTAAAATAGAATAAATAAAAAAAGATAAAGACTGTTTTGAAAGATCTTAGTATAACTTTTCATTTTGATCTTATTTCTCGTCAATAAAACCTTACCTGTAGTTCTATTCAAACTAACAGCTAATGCAATATCAATAATCGCACCAATTAAAATAAGAATAATGATGCAGATGATGATCGGAAGCAAATTTTTTCTGGTACAAAAGCGTTGACGTTTCTTTCTAAATGAAAAGAGTTTTGTTGATAATTATTTAAGAAGAGTGAATACATACGCTCTTTTCGATGAAACAAATGGTAATCGAGTTCGTTGCATTATCACTTGTTCAAGCTGAAATCAACAAAGAAAAAAAATGATAGAATCAATTTATTGATCGAACTTTCTCTACAATAAATATTTTCAATACATCGGTTGACTAATTCGAGTTCGAATATAAATGAAGCTTCTGTAAGGATGAGGGTAGAATGGATTATAGAGGCGTAATTGAGAGGCGCGTGAGGCGTTGCACCTTTCCTGATTTTGAACTTCGTTCACATGCTCTCCCATCTACTTCGCATGCTGAGGTATATCCCTTAAGAATTACAGAGGGCACAACAGCTAGGATAAAGATGAGCCAGTTTTCTGAAAGTCTTAAATGAATAATAATTTATACTGATGTAATTTTTTTTCTTTTGCTATAAGCAAGCGCTAGCTTGTTTTTTTTCAATTATTTTGAAGGTCATCTTATGCAATTGAAGCTTCATTAATATTCGACCTTGAATTAGGCATATACTATTGCAATAACTTCATTTGCAAACTTATCTGACCAAAATATTGATGAAATATTTTGGCAAACAGTTCGAATAGCATTTCTCTATTTCTTATATTTTATTTCTGTAGTCTTTTTTCTTACTGTTGAGAAAGAATGATGATGTTGTTGAATTTTATTGATCGATAGGATTCTTTCGTCATTTTATTTCTGATTGTCATTTTCTACAGTAGTCAGAATCTACTGAGACAAAAGAGATTGAATATAAAACAATATAAATTCAAATATCTAACCGAGCGTGAACTGTTATGACGATTAACAGATTCATTGTTTATCGATTTACTGCTGCTTGGTGCTCGAGCAGTTACATGAATGACATTGCTTGGTCGTCTGTTTCTGTTTAATGGATATTTTTTAACTTTTATAACATGTGATTCGATTGGTAACGCCGAAGCTAAAAAACATTATCATTATAACAAGTCAACGAGATAGTAATTATTAGAATGCATACCTGTTTTTACCTGTATATGAGTTTGATCTATCATTATTGCAATTTTATTTATGATTGAAAAAAAATCCTTTGTTCTTTTTTGCTATATGAATTAGATGAACACATCGAGCTTCATCGAGACGGTATATAAATTAAAATTATATGAGTTGAGAAAATTGTTTTTTTTTTTTAATAATTTTCTTGTTTAAAGAAACATTGTATAATGATTCAGTCCTCATACATGCTCTATGATTGAATTTCGTTATGAAAATTTTCGAAAGAGAGAGAAAATTAAATTTCATCTTTGTTCTTTTTGTATCTTGTGTAAAAAATATATGTCGTTTGTAGATGAAAAGAAAGAGAGTAAAATTACGCATTACATTTATTTTTCTTCACAATTATTATTTGGCCACGAAATATTCAACAACATTAAAATATTGATCATTTATATGAACGAATTAATTGAGAAATTTTGTTCTATAATACATTTGTAACAAATTGAAAATAGAAGGGGAGGGGGGGGGGGGAATTCTTCTTAAATACTTCTCAAGAGAGACAAACATGTTTTTTTGCGTACAAATTTACTGTCCAAAAAAGTGTTTCTTTAGTTTCTAAATAACTTTTTGCCTTCATACTAATTTTTGTCATCAAGGGTGTGAGTGTGGATGTGAAAGACGAGAAGAAAATACACCCATACTCACTCACTCACATCCCACACCCACACACATCCACATCCACACCCGTCCATTGAACTAATAATTTGTGTCAAATTACATTTATCTGTTCTTTGACATGACATATATGTATAGTGATGAAGAGAGATGTTGATAGATTTTAAATAGATAGATAGATAAATATGTATTCAGAACAACTCTATACGGTACCTCTCCAGTGACTTGTCCATAATAGTTTTGCAGGAACCACTGGTACGAAACTCATTCTGCTATTGTAAAAATCTTTTTCCATGCAATAAACCTTTTTTAAAAAATTTCCTGCGTGTATAATCATATGAGAGATCTCAAGATGGTTTCACTCTCAAAAAGATCTCTCATTCTCTCTCAAAACACAATCTTTTCTCCGTGCATTTGTACGCAGAATCGGACATATTCTGCACTTTTGGTAGAATTGATTCGTCTGTTATTTCATAGCTATTTAGTCAATATGTAATTTTCCTTATGTTTATGTAAAGAACTGAACAGGAAATTTATTGAAGTTAACTCCAAATCTTCACGTTAAAAGAGTACCAAGCTACTGAAGAAGTAGTGATCGTATCATTACTTATGACGCACTGGTTACTTTGCAAGATAACAAAGGATTTTAAAGAAGCGTTGAGACTCTCAGATAAGAAAGGAGGAAAATGGAAAAAACCAACGTTGTCATTTGTTGATGAATAACAGTGGAGGGAATAAAAGAACATATAACAATATAAACGAATGTAAAAGACGAAGAAAGTCCATTTATTCCTCGACGAAAAATTGGTCAGTTGGAATTTCTGCCCATAACATTGGTCAATTTCGATACCGTTCTGATTGACAGTCGAGCATATGTTAACCAAGGCAGCGACTGTCTCTTTATCCACACCTATGCCTTCACATCGCTTATGCTTTTCTTATGGAGTGTTTTTCTGTTGACCTTTCATCTTTTTTCATGCGTTATTCTCTTACGACTTATCATTATTTATCAATATTTTGTTATATATCGTTCTAGGCTATCTTGATTTAGTGTTCACCATGTCACCCCATTGTCGACTATGTGATAAATGTCTAGAATCAAGTTTGGGATTGAACGGCCGATGCGATGATTGCTCACGTTACAATCAATTGATTACATTTGCTAAAATGCTGAAAACCTTACAAGATCATGCCATGCGTCAAATTGATTTTAATGAAACTCATCGAAGATGTCAACAATTTGCATCAATTATCGAAACTTATCCATTCTTTGTTGTTACATTAAAATCATTCGATCTTAATCAACACTTTCCAGATCGAATAGCGCTCGAGTATAAACTTAACAGTTTAGCATCAACCGATATTCAAAAATATAAAGATTATTATCCTGTCGAACTTGACACGATCAACGGAAGTAATAGTCTCTTACAAAGTATTAGTTTTCTTTGCTCTAACAATGCAATCGATATTACCGAATTACGTGTCCGAAATATCGTCGATATGGTGCTCAATACCGATATCTACATTGAACACTTTACGGATTTGAACGAGCTTCAAAACGAAAAAAAGACATGGCAACGACTCATTGTAGATAGTGCGCGAGAAGAAAACTTGGTAAGGTTGTTGGTCACTATTTTCCACTTTAAGTTTGAAGCATAGTTGAATCTGTTGTAGAATAATGTGTTCAATTCCATCATCAATCTGAGTCTCTATAGTCTCAGCAATATTCTCAATGTAAAAATTGTTTCAATCTGTTCTCAAATACGTGGACATTCTGACCATATTTATGATCGACTTCATCGGGATTTTTTACCTTTATCATCACAGCAGATCAATGTCAATGAAACACCGATTCATATTCTATGGACTGGTAAACAACGCTTGTCAGCTCTGGATACCAGTTCACGTTGGTTACCCGATCGTGTCGTACCTCTTCTTCCCGCTGTAAGTAATCACATACATCATATCTAGTCAACATTTTTTGGACATTTCTTTTTGTTCAGATGCAAATCCAACAACCGGCAAATCCAGCAGTAAACGAGATGTATCTACGAATTCCAGGTAAATCCATATCCAGATCACGATCCAATAAAGTTGAAAAAAAAACAGGCGACAAATGCACAAAATACTGTGGAAAGAAGTTATTTTCCAAGAGTATAATTAGATAACTATGGAATTCAAGTGTAAAAGAGGATAGATTCGTTTCGAGAGGACACGAGAATCCTTCACCATCTTTGTCATGGTCTGAATGATAAGAGAAAGAAGACCGTTTTTGTACGTAAGTTTCATCGTAAACATTCAAAACTCGATCAAACACTAGTGTTTCTGTTGTCATACACGATTGTCGCACAGTTGCTCTCAATGATTCGAATGTATTTTGTTGAATTATTTGTTTGTAGACACCAGATTTTATCGTACTTATCGTTGCAACTGTTCGATCACCCAAAGTACCTTAGATAGTGTTGTAACTGAAGATATTCAAAAAGCTCGATTGGAAGCTGAGGCTAATCATAAACCATTACCAGACTTGAATTTTCAATGCCCAGAATGTCAATCACCTTGTACGGACTATCGCTACGATGCAGATGAAGTGAAGAAATATCGCGCAAGATTTACGCGTGGACGCTACATATACATTCTAATCGATAAAAGTCCGTCAATGGCGGTTCGTTTTATGGAAGAAGACTCGTCGACAGTGCGCCCGAGAGAAGTCGAATTATCACGTTTAGATCAAACAAAAGTAGCTGTAAGAGAATTATTGAACCAAATTGCTTCCAGTGCAGGTCCAATGGATAAGATCGTAGTAAATACATTCGATAACCGATTAACAGAACCGGCGCTCATTCAAGAGTGTGAAGCTTGCAAGGCGAATAGTTCAGAAAATCTCAAAAAGCTCGATTCGATCGAAATGAATGAACTCTTCAGTGGAAACTTGAGTAGAAGCTTGAGTAGAACCTTGGGTTTGAGTAGAACCTTGAGTAGAATTTTTGTGCGAACCCATTTCTACGAAGCATTGAAATCAGTCTATCAATTACTCGAACGACAAGCTTTTTACGAGATTCGGTTGCACGTTTTCTCGGATGGTGAAGATACCAGTGGTAACACAGAGAATATTGAACATTTTCGGAATATTGTCAAATTGCTTCATCAACAACTCGGTGTCGATTGTGCATTTGTTCAGTGTGGAACATCGTTGACAAATATTTGTTTTTCAAATTTTAACTGGCTCGTCGACAGAGCCTCTGTTTCAGCAATGTCCGGAAGTGAGTCGATGATTCTAGAACAATCTATTCGTCTCTATCAACAAAATTATCCACAACGAAGTAATACACGAGAAAATGTTTCTCGTACTTTAACTGAAGATTTTGACGAGCGTGACAATGTTTGTCGAATTCGCCGTAGACCCACAGCTGTGTCAGGCAATGAAGTAGCAGCATGGTCAGTCAATACATTTCGCGAGCCGAGAGTTTTGGACATGCATCACGATTCTGAAGCAATACCAAAATCACAAACGAATGTTTCGACAACACAGACTAGATCATTTATGTACGTTATGGGCATAAGAAATTATCGACGAAGAATATAGAGATGCATGAAAAAGAAAAGAATTCGGTTTGTTACATTGTCACTTTAATATGCGAATTTTCTGTGTGCATTATTTGAAAATACGAGAAAAGGAAACTGAGAATCCATGTTGCTGGAATACGTTGCAAACTCTTCAACACACAGAATAATGATCATTCCATAGAAATGTCTATCACGGATGGAAAAGTTGATCATCCTATATCAGTTCTGATTCCAATTCTACCGAAGTATTGGGTATTGGGTAGGTATCGGTGAAGCGATCATAGGCATGGAGTTGGAATCGAGTTTTGGCGTAGATTTAAGTATTTTTGTCCGTAAACTGATACGAATAACTTCGGTTGGCGATACCAAAACTCTCAACAAATGTGCATTACTGATAATAAACCAAAAGTTGTTCATGCCGAATGTTTTTCTGCTCCACTTTTATGAGCCTTACTTAATTCTTTTTGGTCTGCTCCCGTTTTTGTACGTTTATGAACAGCATAGTCTATCTGCATCATACGTGTAAGTTCCGTTCTATGTTTAAAACGATGAGTGGCCTGAGAGAAGAGTCTTGTGTAATAAACTTTTCGATGTTTCGAATTTCATTTGGACCGTCTTGAAAAATCTTCTGAACGATCGTATTTCTCTTGCTAAATAGGAGACAAGAAATGGAGTTTTTCGAGATTCGGAACTATGCCATAGTACAGTAGCTCAGTTGAGAGGTAGCAATGATTCATTTACCGGTCAGACACGTGGATGGCTTGCAGATATTTCCAGATATTAGATAAACTTAAACTGCTAATCGGCATTTGCTACTGCGAACAAGTGACAACCTTATTATACTTTCGTTTGAACTCAATGTTTAACTATGAACTTCGATGGATATACGAGAGCTCTGTAGCGAGGATGCCACTTATATGAGCAGTTTGGCAAAATTATATACGCGCCATAATGACAGAAGTTAACTATCGCCCCATCTACTGTCAAATGTATGTACACAACCACATCTTTGAGTTCTGCACTTCAGCTAATTTGGCCCACTAGGGGGAATTGAAGTCTGGACCAAAGAGTTCTGCACTATGGGAAAACTGCATTATATCTCTTCTCTTTCTATGGATTATAAGTCCCCACAAGCTGTGCTCGAAAAGGTATCGGGTGGTTCACAATAAATGGACCACTTTGAAATTTTGATTTTTCTTCATCTAGTCTCACCTGCTTTCCTCCAATTCTTTTTTTATCGAAAGATGCGCAGTGAAATTCTCTGCAAACATGTATAAGAGTGTTTTATTTTAAATGCCAATAAGAAATATTTTAATAAAAAAATATCATGAATGTCGAATACGTCCAAATTTTTAGCAAAAAGAACATTTTTCTTTGTTTTATTGTTTGGCGCTTTGCAGCAGAAGAAGAATTAACTATTCATTTTGTAGCGCTTGCAGAACTCTATTCTTTATCAGTAATCAAACAATTTTCACGTATTAACATACCGTGCAGGACAACGTTGTCTTTTTCCAGATTTGACAAAAATCAGGTTTTCGGATGAATAGCTTCGGGACTCGAATATAGAGACTAAAAATAATATTTCTTGGCTTAATTTATCTTATTTTAAAGAAGAATTTTTTAAAAATGAACGGCGAACTAGATCCACACTTCAGAACTTGAATACAGTCTTTATTTCGCAACATATGAGCAAAATTAGCTACATTTTTTGCCATTTCCAATGCGAAATCATCAAATTGTTTTACTGAGTCAAGATACTTGGTTGAAAAGAACTTTGGTCTATACTAGAAAAAAAAGCGAACTTCATTCTACAAAAAATTTTTGCCTTATCGATGTTTTTTTATTTCAAAATCCTAAAAAACAATCTGTATTTTTTAAGAAAAGAACACTTCAGAAAGTTGGATATGTTGAAGCTTCGCAATATTCTTGTATTAAATATTTCATATTGATATTTGTAATAAAACGTTCTTACATATTTTTGTAGAGAATTTCTGAAAACAGTTGGGATTGAATGAAGGAAGATCAAAAACACACTAGTTCAAACTTTGAAGAGTTTCTATTGACTGTAAGACCTATTTATCTAAGGACAAAATTTCAGCTCGAAATTCAGTCATCTGGATTCTTAGCGATTCTATGCTCATAGAACAAAAGTTGAGTAAGATCTCCATAGCTCGATAAGAGAAGATCAGAAAATCAAACAAAAACAGACTTTTTATTATTCCATTAAGATTGATTCTATGGCAATAATTTCAAACGAAAAGTGCTTTAACAACTGAGAACGTTCCATCGGCAGTTAAGGTAAAGAGTATATTTCCATCAACAATAGTTGATCCAAACCAGTTTCACTTTACATCATATGAAAGAGTGTACTTAATTCTTGTCTTAGACTTACTCTATCGTTTTATCATATTTGTCCTAGAACTAGAAGAAAGGCTGAAGTGTTTCTGAAAATATGCTTTGAAAGTTGTGTCAAATTGACAATGCACATTATTATTAGCCAAGTGTTTTATCGAACAATCTTAAGTAGAGTCGCTTTTAGAAAAATTTCTAGACAATATCATGGCACACCTTTTGATATCAAAAGAAAGTGTAGAAAAATGAAAACTGAGTAAGATATTAACAAAATACGAAGACTTTCATGTATTCTGGTGTACTCATGAATTCTTCAACGAACATAAGTTCGATCATTAATTTTTTTGATTTATCATAACAGAGATAGTACATTCTCTATTACATCCAGATATTCATCTGTTTCCGTCATTTTATGAATGTACATAGCTATGAGTTTTAACCAGAATCTTGCAGTTCTCGAAAATATTGAAAAGCGAAACTATGGTTTCGATTCCGGCTAGTAGAAGTGGGAAAGAACCAGTTCGAATTTCAATCCTTAAAAAGTATCTTTAGAACCATAATCCCAGCAATGCTATACAAAATAACTAATAGTTTTGTTCTTTAGAAATATTATTAAACTCACGATAAAGATGTTGTCAATTTAAAAAATGTTTCACTTGCGTGAAGATTTTGCAATCAGTTATTAAATCTTTTCTTTCGTTAACGAAGAAGAATTCCGTTTAACCAATATGAGCCTTAGGAGTATACAAAACGTACGAAAACAAAACACAACAGTGAAAATTGTTTTTCAGCCCTTTTTTTTAGACACAAATAAATATATCGTTTCTTTACCTCTTATAAAGATTAAAATTCAGTATAGTGAATAAATGGCAAGTTTATTCGCATCGAATTCATACAAAAATGACGTTACATAGAAGAGTCTATGATTCAATTATGTGCATTATCATGAACTTTCTAGCCATTGTTGACATCGTATTCTATCAAAACATTAGAAATACACCGGATTTGCTAGCGAAACACGACCACTGACGTAATCACAGATTTTGATGTCTCCAGCTTAAAATAATTGAACATACAAGTGACACAGTAATTATCGTAGAAAAGATTTACAGTTCCAATGATTCCGGTCACTTCTATTTTATGAGTTCGATATCATTGATTGTTTATATTAATATACTATTATAGCGAAAAGATTAAAGATTATTTCTGCAAATCCCTTAAGTTTATTAAAAGGGACCGAAACAAAAAACAACAACAACAAAAAAAAAAGCAATAACAATTCTTATTGTTTCTTTGTTCGTGCTTTTTGACGAGCCATTTTACCAGGTCGAGATGAGTTTTGTTTGCCCTACAAAAAAAAATTTTTTGTAATAAATACATAAGAATAAGAAAATTATACCTTTTTGCCTTTTTGTGCATGAAATGATGGACGTTGCCATTTATTAGATTTTTTATTAAATACATCAGCTGAACTTTCAGCTGTATTTTTTTTTAAATTTTTCTTTCGACCACCAAAACCAAATTTGTTATCTTTATATTCAATTTTACGATTTGTTTTTAAACTATATAAAAATAATATATATATATTTTTTTTTTATTTATAATTTCTTCAATATTACTTTCGTTTATGACCAT